ATATAATTTAATATACTATATAAAATATTTGCCCAACATGAAATAATTTTTTTTAATATATATAATTAAATATTTTAATAAATTTAACTTATTTACACTATAATAAACAAAATAAATAATAAAAATTTATAAAATTTGCTATATTTAAAAATTATTGAAATGACTGGTCATTTGATAATTGAAATGACAGATCATTTGTCATTTGTTATTTGAGTCATTTGCCAGTCATAATCATTTGGCGAACACTGCTTTCTATTGCAAAGCTCCTATATTAATCTTACTTTATCCTTAAGTCAATTGCTTTAAAAATTAATAATAGGCTTTATTTCTACATATTGAGATTTGATAAAAATATAAAAATATTTATATATGTTAGATAATTAATAAAATAAATTAAACTAAATATATTTATAGAAATAAAATTGATATATTACTAGAAAATAAAGTTAATAAATGGTCAGCAAGATAATTTATAATAATAAAGTTATCTGGTATACTGAAAATTAAATTAACATTTGAATTAATATCAATATACATTGATTATCAAGGGAAATTAAATTAATAAAATAATTTATAAGATGATTTACAAAAAATAAAATTGACATTATTATCCAAGTGAAAATGAGGCATAACAAATCACATGATCAGAAATGTGATACAAGAAGCATGATTAATATTCATCATAATTGTAAAAACAATCTCATAATAGAAATGTAATCATAAATTGAAATGTTAATCAATGAAATTAATGTTACATGATACAATATGCCACATCTAAAAATTGGGAGTAAATGTAATAATTATGAAAAGGTATTAAATCATAGTTAGGGAATTAGTTATTTTTATATAGTCATGATGTAGTAACTATGCAATGAAATATGTAGTAATAATTATGCAATGATTAGATAGTTAAAGGTAATCCTTATGTAATAATTATCTAATATATCTGTAATTTTAGATTAATTTAAAATGTATAAATAGGACAAGTTGAAAATATTAAAGAGGAAGCGATCTAGAGAAGTAATTAATCTAGGAGTAATGTAACGTAAAGAATTAGTATTGATGATTGTGCAATCACTTATAACATTATAATATTTTAATAAAACACTTTCTTTAACAAAATTATTCTTTTATATATTTCTCATAATGTTTGTGTAATCCACTTATGTGTTACCTCTATCATGATTCATTAAGTCTTCATACTTAAATGAATCACCATGTGATTCAGCTTAAAAAGATCATGATGAATTTATAATCTTTGACGACAGATGGCAGCAGCGATCAAGAATATTTCATCAAATCAACTAAAAATTTATAACATAACGAACTCAACCTCTTACCTAAAAATAAACATCCTATTTTTTGAGTAACAACATCAAGATCATCAAAAATTTCTAGGTAATAATTTTTTAAACTTTAAAATAACTATGTAATATGGGATTTATTTTGTATCATATGATCAGCTGTAACCTAAATTAACAAATATCTTAACATAAAAATGTAAATTTAAAGAGCTTCTATTGGAATTTTGTGATTTGAATTCATTTGAATTAGGTAGTAACTATAACTTAGAATTTAACTAAACATCTTAGCTAGAAATTCATATAGCATTTAAATAGTTTTAATAATTTCTTTTTGTATTAATTTTCTAACTTTAGATGTTATTTTTAGTGATAAATTTTATTTTAAGAAAGTAGAAATAAAAGGACATTTAGAAAATTTATTACTTTTTGATATTTTATTTTTATCTTCTTTAGGGAATAGTGATTAGTTAACTTAAATGAGATTCAAATAAAACTACAGAAAGTATACTATAAATTTGTTAATTCTTATTTGTAATTTTTTTAATTTAAAATTTAGAATATATTTTGAATAAATTATCTGCGATAAAGAAACAATTACTAATACTAAAGTAAGCATCTTTAAACTTAGGATTATTATTATTAAATTAGGTTAGGATTAGGTTAAGTGTTAGAGTTAGGATTAGAAGTTAGAATTAGGATTAGAATTAGAATTAGAATTAGAATTAGAATTAGAATTTGAGTTTGGATTAGAAAGAATACATGATTTAACGGTAAGTTGCAAAATTTACTTATATTTGCTTTTTTTAAGAAAACAATTAATAATTTGAATAAAGTATAGATTTTTATCTTTTTTTTTATTAGAAAAAAATTTAGCTATCTAATATATGAAAATTAGAGAAATTCATGATCTTAAGATATCTTACAAGAATTATATTATTTATTGGTAAATAAAGGTCATTTATATATCTGTCTGTCTATATTTAACCATAAGCTTATTTGCTTACATTTTTTCATGTAATAATGAATTCAAAATCGCAAAATTCAATGGTATCAAGATAATATTCAAGATTTAAACCTTCAATTTAATTTATAAGATGAAACTGTAGAAATAGTAACACAGTTCCAGTAGGATAATAATGAACTGATGATTTCTGATTTACATATTTTTAATTAGCTTAAAGCATCAGATACATTTACAATTGAAATTAAAGAACATGTTTAATGAAAAGCTAAATATTTATGTTAATTTGGAAAAATGAAGAAAACTCTTAACTTAGCACTTGATTTAGGTGTTAAGAATGATTTTATTGATATGGTTACTGGATTTATAGTTTGCAAGAAGCAAGATATTAATACAAATGATAAAGTACAAGTGAACTTGCATGTTTTTAATCCTTTAATTCAAAAATGTCATGGACGTTAATCACAAAAATGCACCAAGTTATCATCTAAATTCAATTTGCATATCAATACAAAAAGTGGTGCTATATCCAACCGAGCCAAATTTACTTGTGAGGCAACATCAAATTCAGAAAACATCTTTATAAAGAACACTATTTCTTGTTCTTGATTCTAATAATGTTGAGATAAATAATACTCCTATCAGTTCTATGTTTTATTGATGATTCTATTACAGTTATAGGAATACAAGCTACAGACGAAATTGCATCTAAACGGAAGTATATGTAAAGTGTGTGGAGAATTAGGACATAATGCTAGAAACAAAACGAAGTGTAGCAAACGGTAATTATATGTATTAATTAATACTTTAATAAAGTATAAATCACGTGAAATTATAATACCACATGACCCTGTGATGTTAACCACCCGAAAAAATTCAAAATTAATATTTATCTTTTTATTAAGAAATTAATACTTTTTTTTTAATTTCGCAGGCAAATTTGCTTGCTAGACAGTCTAAGGGATAGCATTTACAAATATGAAAAAGTTTTACGATTAAACGTGATTAACGAAAAATGGATTTACAGGTTAAAAATTCATTTTATTATGAAATCATTGATGTCATTGATGTCATTGATAATGGTGCGAATCTATGACTCTTTTAATAAATTTTACATTTTAATGACAAGAAATCCAAAGCTATTTATCTGATCTGTTAATACTATGAAAATGATATCATAAGCATAATATCCAATTTCTGAATAATAAATCGGATCTTGGCCTTTTTATCAATTAAACCCTACCCTAAAAATTCGAAAAAAGTTGGTAATCTAAATGACATGTTCAAGCAAAATAAATTTTGAAATTTCGTAAAAGCTTTGAGGTTTTACGAAAGATAATCATCAGAGAATAAATCACGAACTATATAATTTATCGCGATAAAATTTTCATAATGCAGGTCTTGACTAAGCCAGTTAAATTCAAACCCAAAGTTTCCAAATAACTAATTAACCTTATTGATTTCTTTTTTTCATCTAATGTATTACTTATTTCTGTTTAATTAGCAAAATTTCGTACCTGATGTAGGCTCTGCTTGAGCCAAAATATAATAATGAACATTCTACCACGTCTTGCCAAATTTAATGAAATAAATAAATTTAAAAGTGAAATAAAATTGTAGATGGCTGATTTTTTTAAGAAGCAACTATTTAATTTTAATAAAAATACAGATCAAATCATAAATTTTTCTTGTTTCGGCCCAAAGTCAAAATTAGCAAATGATTCTTCATCACACATGGGATGTCAAAGTTTCAGTGAAACTATCAAAGACGTGATAAACGATATGAATAAATAAACAACATAAAAAATAGCAAACATTGGGACTCTTTTACCCGCTCCCTCCAAACACCGATAAACATGGATTTTTGGTACTAGATAAACAAAAGAATAGAGGTGCATATAAGCATTGACATGTATGTATAGTTTGCCCAATTTTTTTTTGTTTCAGTGATAGCTTTGGGAATTTATGTCGTGATAATTGTTCCTTGTGTTCCCGTACAGGATTTACTTTACAGGAACTTATTTAAGAAAATGAAATTACTGTGGAATTTCCATGGAAAATTGCGATCATATCTAATTAGATGAACTTACACATAACAAAAGTTTATAACCCGTATTTATATCGAGATGAAAGCATTGAATCAGCCAAACGTGCATCTTTTGCAAATGGCATTGGGGAAAGAAAACAATATGGAGGTTTGCTATTAAAATTATGTTTGGATCATATGATTACTATATTTTCGTAAAGTAAATTAATATCTTTCATGTCGATTATTGGAATGATACAGAAAAACTTGTTATTGAGTAAATAGAATTTCATTTTATAATTGTTAAAGATCGATCGGCTAAATGGTCCCCGAATATCTAAAAAGGGATGAACAAAAAACCGGTTTTTTGCCAATTTCATTTTTATTAGTCATTTAATTATTTATTTTGCCTTAAAATATAAAAAAAATATTTTTAAGGTTCGTCATGTTATTAAAAGTGTTATGCAAGTATCGCCACGTGACTTTCCAATAAGTAAACTAAACCCAAAAATAAAAAAGATGTTTATATTTAAAAAAGTGTTACAATATTTTATTAAAGGTATTTCGGCTGAAATAAAACCTTTAAATTGATTTCGTGTCAAAAATGAAAATTTTTTTTAGTTTATCGTTTTCTCTTGCTTTTGATTGTCAAAAAAAATTTTTTTTCCTTGATTTTAATTTAATTTTAACGACATAAAAAAAAATCACTATGGCTCTCATACAACAGATTTCGAAATTAATTGTGTTCATTCTAATTTGTTCCTTTATTGAAAGTATTAATGCTGAAGTTAGAGTTATTAAAGTCGGTGGTGGAGGTCAGCAAAATTTAAAATTTGACCCGCAAAATACTACAGCACATAATGGTGATATCGTAAGTTGCTTTATAACTTTATTTTAATTTCCTCATTTTTTTTTATGCTGACATTTTTTAACCGATAATTAGATTCAATGGAAATTTATTGGAGGAAATCATAACGTTGTTCAAATGACTGCTAAGGCTACATGTGAAATGCTTACTACGCCTGATGCTTGTAAGTTTGACATTTTGTTAGAATCTATATGCACGCATATACACAAACTAATGTCTTTGATTACCTTTCCCGCTTTTCTAGTTCAATCCTTATATACGAATCCACCAAACAAAATATTTGAAATCAATATTAATGAACAAAATAATACGTATTATTATATGTGTACCGTGGGTAATCATTGTAAAGCTGCTGGCATGTGGGGTGTCATTAATATCGTTCCTAAACCTAATGAACCTTACGTTCCTCCTTCAGAAGATAAAAAAATTAACCCTACCAACAAACCGGTTGGAATTGTACTTTGTGGCGTGTTTGGTTTTCTAGTAGTTTCAGTTGCGGGATTCCTTTTATTTAAACGATATAAATCGAAGCAATCGTTAACGAGAACAGGTCCTGAAGTCATTAAGATTATTGGTAAAGAAGGAAAGATTCCTGCTCAAGATCTTAAGAAACCTGATCGGGCCAAAATTGATAATGTTGCCAAAGTTGTATAAAATTACCTGTTTTCTACTTTGCCGGTATTGGTTCTTTTTATAAAATTAGAATACAAATTAATCACTTTTCAACATGATGTCAAAACTTTATCGGAAAATTAAAAAGAGAAGTCTAATTTTATGAATTTTTATTTAATATATATATATATATTTTTTGTCAATATTTTACAAACCTTTTTTTTTTAAAAAAAAAATTTAACAATAAAAAATTTTACAATAAGAAACAAATAAATTGATGATATTTTTTAAAAATTAGAGGATTTTTTATTCTTTCTTCGGAAAATATTTCTTAAGCTGGCTACTCCAATATTCGTCGACTTTTTAACATTCTTTCTCCCTACGTTCAACTTGTTTTTATCCTCATCAGAAGAATTGGTGGTTTCATCATCCACGTCCAATAACATATCAAAATATCTTATTAATTGTTCTGCACCACATTCTCTTGCTATCGTTTCGATATCTTCAACATTTTCTTCATCCACCAATTCTTTGAGCGCCTTTTCACACCTTTGAATTAAGGTAGGAATCAAGAACCTGGAAGCCCCGTACATCAAATCGATCCAATCCTCAATGGATTCAAATTCAAAAGTAATCTCGCCAGTGTACATGAAATTTAGTAATATATCTAAGGTTATCGAGGAAATGTCCTTAAGAGTTAAAGATTTGTTGTTTGACTCGATCATGTTTGAATCTAAAAGAGCTTTAAAGTAATCTGATCTTGAAGACAATACGACCGTATGAACGTAGTAAACCTTGGATTCCGTCTCGAGCGAAATAATGAAATCACTAGTCTCTTTATCATTAAATAAGGTTTCCTTTCCGTCCTCTTGTATAATCTCAGGCAAAGGATCGCATACGATATCAGGCACCAATTCAACTTTAACATCAAATCCAAAGGTCTCATCATCATCCACCAAAGCGTCATTTCCGCCGTTCCTTTTTTGTCTGAATAATTGAGCTTTTTGCCATGCCATGTCAGTCATGCCACCTCCAATTAATTCAACCTTTAATTTGAATCCATATTCTCCTTTAATAAATGAAGAAACATTTTTCAAGGTATTATCCCTTTGACATTCAAATTCATTATTAGGCGTTGTACACGTGAGCAGATCGGGCGTGATTAAATGAAAGGTTGGATTTGGGTTTGTACGTGTCGGCAATGGAGAGATTGACCATATTATCGAGGCGGATTCATCAAATATGCAATGTTGCAATCGAAGATTTAAAGAAGAAATTATGAAATTTCCGGAACGGTAATCAAATTTCCAAATTATGTAACCTGGTTCGGTTAACCTTATATCAGGTTCTCTCGCTAAATACACCCTATAAAAAGGATTCGGTGAGGCTTCTTTTTGTTTCTCTTTTTTTTTTTTGTTAAAAAAAAAAAAAAAAAAAACACTTTAAATCACATGTTTTTTAAATCACCTTTTTTTTCTTTTAAAAACTTACATTTGCCAATCAAGCTCAACTCTATAAGCGATGTTATCGTATTCCAAGCACCCTTTTTTCCATGATTTTAAATACTTTTTATCAAATATACCATTTTCATAATAAGCATTGTTCCCCGTGTTATAACAAATTCTGTGTGTGAAAAAGTTGGAATTTGAATTCGAGATGTTTTTAGGTATAACATGTAATCTATATTTGTTATTCAATAGGCCTAATGCTGGTGATTTTATTAATTTGGTGGTGAATCCTGGCGAATTTGGATCTATGACGCTGTTTAAACTAGCTGTTTCGATATCAATTCGTCTATAACGAGGGGATAGAAAGTAATAAGCCGACATTTTTTTTTTTTCTTTTTCTTTTTTTTTTTTATGTGATATGAATAATTAAATTCGTTGCAAAGAAAAACAAAGACTCCCCCTTTTTTTTGAAAAAAAGGAAAAAGAAAAAAAAATCCTGTACGCACGCGATTTCGTTTGGATCACAGCTTTGGTTCAAAGCCTTTATCTTTATTTTATTTCTAATTCCCTCATTTTTCTATTTTTATACCCTTTTTTTCCTCTCAATGATTTTTTTATAAAAAAATTTTTTTACATGCATACCATGCACAAGTACAATGACGATTCGACTTTATTGTTCATTGTTCATCAGTCATGATCATGTGATTTCGAATATAATATGTGAGGTGTTTTGCATTTTTCTTTTTGTGGTTTATTGTAAATTCCTTTTCTGTAAAAAGATGTAAGAGAAAAAAAAATGTGTCAAAAAAAAAAGTCCTGCCAGAAAGGATTTGCCTTACATTTACGATAGACGATTGAGATTTTAGGTTGACACATATATATTATATGCATTATCAATTTAATTTTTCTTTTTTTTTTTTAACAAAGATTTTATAATAGTTGCTTTTTTTTTGTTTTAAAAAAAAGAATTTATAAATGGAAAAAAAGAAAAAAACCGAACGCAGATTATCTATGGACCCGCGATCACGCGTTTTAAAAGGAACTTGAAAACAATGAAGAAATTGTTTATGACTAATCAACCAATGAAAAGATGTTTAATTAGTTATCCGTTTGACTTCCCCCAAAAAAATTTCACTCCCACGTGACCTTAGGAATCATCCTCCACATTTTCTTTGTTCTGGGGACTTTGAATTTTTTAGCGGCCAAGTTCTATAGTGCCGGCCAAAAATTAGTGGGTGAAGTATCACGTGATTTTATAATGGCCTTTTGTATTTCATTACATAATAATGTAACCAAAAAAAAAATATTTTTTTTATAAAAATGAAAAAATGAGTGTGATTGTTCTTTAGCACATCTTTTTTTGAAAGGCTAAAACTAAATAAGAAATACAAATTTAAATCATAAAAATGAATATTAACAAATATGAGAAATTTACCATGAATTTTTATCAACTTAAAACTTTCTTTTACCTTGAAAGATTATAATCTGACGAAATCTTTAGTGCAATCGAGGGCGAAGAACGTCACAGATCCGCATCATGTACTTTACCTCAAAAAGGTCTTCGGCCATCCCACATCATCAGGACACTCTGAAGAAGTAATGTAGTGTATGATTGCCCTGAAAAATCTCTGGTGCGATGTAAGGAATTACTCCATAAAATCTCACCATTGGTTAAGCACTTGCTACGTCATTGTAATAGACGAAAGGTTGAAGGTCCATAATTAGCAGAAAAATCTTTGGAGATAGGATCTTGTATGATTTCGTCACTCGATTTCGATTTACAATCATAAAATACCTGAGGCTGAATTTTAACAAGATTAAAAAAAAATGTCATCACGTGTTTAAGTCAATGAATTCCATACCTCAATTAGCTCTTTTGATGTGATATCTTTGGAATTTCTTATCGTAACTTTCCACGACGTATACGAAATTTTCGTGTTTTAAAATCATCCACAACTTGATTCATTAATGATCACGTGGTGGTCACATTTTGCAACAATCAAACCACCCACCCACTTAGATCACCCAATATAACAAAGACTGAACACCGTAAGATCAATCGAAATAAAAAACCACTTTTTTTTAATGTTTGAAAATGAGAAGCATCCTGAATAAGCAAAGAGATATCTCGAAGAATTCTTCTATTTAAGTACATTGCATAACCAAAAATTACAGTAGGTTAAGGTGAGTGAGTTCGAGTATTAGAGCACATTCGTGACCCCGAATAATCAATAACTATGGTGAGGCTGCGGCTACGTTGAATAGGTGCACTATTGATATGTGTTCAAGTTACGTTTCGCTCAATCAGTTTACATCAGCAAATAATTTACATTAAATCATTAATCTCTAACCTATTTAATTTACTTTTTTTTTTATTAAACAAAAGCTCCAGTTCGCAACATTGTTGGATTTGGAATATATGATGTCCAATTGAACAATATAAGTTTATATGTCCAATTGGATAAAATGTTCAACACTGGTTCGTAAGGATAACTATAAAAAGGATCGAACTTGGGAGGATCAGTGATTTACTGTTTGTAATTTAAATATTTCCAAACCCGAATAAATACTGTACTAAGCAGTCAAGACATGCTGAAAGTGAAGAGTTACTATTAAAGTTACTATTAAGATGATTCGAATACGTGTTAATGAAGGAGCCGACAAACTAAACCGTTGTACAACACTAGAAATAAGGTATTGTAAATTTTTTATAATCCGTAACAAAAATATCTTCTCATCTTTCCAGGTTGCAGAGGTTGCAGTAGAAACGCCTTTACCAAAAAGATAAAGCTATTTATCAGAAGATGATGATGGGTGTCGCTTACCCTCGACATATAAAGCAAATTCCATTGGAGCTATGATTATTGGAGTAAAGTGGAATATATGGTCGGACGTTAATGTTTTTGGTTCTGATGGACGCGAATATTGTTGGTAACATAAGGGAGAAAAGTTGAAAGATCATCATGATAAAATTTGGTGCAGCGGAGTTTTATTGCAAAAGGTATTGGATGGTTATGTCGAATCGATGTTGGTAATGATGCTCAATTATATTGTCAATCTTAGAGAAAGATTTTTACAAACACTTGATTATTACGAGTTGGATATTATTGATATTATCTTTCAACAAGATAATGACCCAAAACACAAAGCACGTAAATCAAAAGAATGTTTGGAAGTAAAGGGAATAGTAGTACTCTATTGACCTGCTCAATCACCCGATTTAAGACCGAATGAACCAAACCGTTGGAGGGAATTAGAAAGACGTTTACGTAAATATGATTGTTATAAGCAATAGAATTGAATTATGAGAAAAATTCAATCCTCTTGGAATAACATTGAAACTCTCGATGCATGTACATTAGTTGCATTCAAAATTTTAATAAATAAATTTCCATTTTTTTATAATAAATTATAAAAGATTAATATTTTATTCATCAACTAATAGTTCGTTATTAAAATACATAAGAATTTATATACAGTATAAATATAAAATAACTTTTAGAAAAAGAAATATCGCGTGGTTTCTTTTTTTTTATAAAATTTTAAAATTTTTCACTAAATAAAAAAAAAATAATGTGACATGAGTCGCTGCAT